AAAAGCATCTTCATATTTCCATTCCAAGTCTCTCGCGGTTGGAGACGCACAGAGTGTGAACCTCTGAGGTAGGCTACACAGCCTCCTGGCATCTGCAGCATCGTACTGCTGCTAGTGCACAGCGAAATATCGCTGAAAGGTCATGAGCCTCGGCCAACGGACACACTACGAGCTGCGAACATCACGGGAAGATCAAGGCAACCTCTTCTCGGGGCATCAACCTTCATCCGTGGACAACGAGAGAACCTGGTTTCGGAGATTTCTGGAGATTGCGACGCCGTCATCGGTCAACGGCAACACAAGCAGACGCGCAAACTTGGTCATCTACACCAAGGTGCTGAGGGTTCACGTCGTATACACACGTTACCACCCCTGTGGCAGTAGCGGGTATCTCTGTGGTGAACTAGCAGCAAGGGTCACGTGCGCGGGAGTCTCGAGCGGCATACGCATCGGGTGTACAAGGAACTACACTGTATCATCAGTGGAGGCGATCAACAACCGGAGTCCTCTATATCAGTAGCAGGAGCGGGATCGGAAACAAGAAAACCACAACCGGAGTCCTCTATATCAGTAGCAGGAACGGGGTGGGGAAGTCTCGGGTACAGGCAGTAGTACCACGAGCAAACTTACTCCTACAGCAGGAAGTACTTTTATCAAGACGAAGAAAATAAAGCTGGAACGAGCAATGGATACTGCAACGAGCAACACAGGAGGTGGAAGCGCGTTCGCCAGCGATAGTTCTACGAACCTGGCAACCGTGATCAAAGGCCTCAAGAAATTCGACGGAAAGGACCCAGCTGAGTTCAAGACATGGATGAAGAAATTCTGCGTGGTGTTAGGTGTGACCAGGAAGGACATCCTGCCACTGCTGAAGAAACAAAGGAAGCCAGATCCCGCAGACACAGCGGCCTTCGACTCCTACACAAGGGCAAACGAAGATCTCTACGCCATTCTTTTCCTCCTAGTGGAACTTCCAGCCGCCTTGTCGATACAGAAGCACGAAGACGACACTGGCATCAGCGGCGACGGACAAGCTGCCTTCGAGGAGCTCTGCAACAACTATGACAGGGTAACGGACGAGGTCATCAGGGCGAAGATGGAGGAGCTGGAGAACAACCCCATGAACCCTGGTGAAAATCCCGACGACTACTTCAACCAGAAGCACCTACTTCGCACCCAGCTGGATAAGATGGGAGAACCCATCTCCGACCGCCGCTTCAAGGACATCTGCGTACAGGGCTTCTCCGACGAATACAAGGACGTCAAACTGATGGTGTTCAGAGACCCAACCTTCAACGTCCTGGACATGCAATCCACCATGCGCAACATCTTCTTGGACGAACAATCGCGCAAGGGATGGAAGGGACGCATAGCTGGTCGAGGATTTGCCATGGCAACGACCGCGTCTGACATCATCTGCCACAGCTGCTACGAGCCGGGGCACATCAGGAGGAACTGCCCCAAGATCAAGAACAGGGCGAAGAAGAAAACGAAGCCCGCCGGAGCTACCAAGTGGTGCTCCAAGCACAACACCACGTCTCACTCGGACGAGGAATGCTACCAGCAAGGAGGAAAGCGCCCGGAAGACACCAAGGACTCAAGTAAAGCATTCACCGCGTGCTCCAACTGCACTCACTGCTCGTCGGCGTCCAACAAGCACGACTCAAACAATGAAGTGGCAGTTGTCGACTTCACCCGGGACGAGGACGCCTTTGACAGCGGCTTCATGTTCGGCACGTGTTCCCGCATCTCAGGACGCAACTTCGCCGCGAGCTCCACCGGGGTAGGCCTGCTGGTAGACACGGGAGCATCGGAGACTATGTTTGACAATCGCCTCATCCCCGACGGAAACCTCCACGATTACACCCAGCGAAACTCTCCAAAGATCGTGGACGTGGCCGGAGAAAGACAACTCAAAGGCACGGCCACGGGCATCCTACACTGCACCGTCAAGGACAATCGAGGACAGCAATTGCGCGTGCGGATTCAGGGACTCATCGTTCCGGGACTTGGTCGCAACATTTTTTCGCCCACCTCCCTCCTGAAAAAGGGATTGCGCTGCGTCGTCGAAGAGAGCACTCCGCACCTCACTATCCAAGGCAAGGTGATTCCACTCACACAAGATCCGCGAGACCAAGGCATGTGCACCCTCGACATCACGTTCGAGCAGAACGTCCAGCCATCTGGCACGAAATCCCTCGTGCCCCACCAGAAGCAGTCACAGACCCACACGGCGAACGCCGTCTGCTTTACGCTAGTGAGCGCGGACACCTGGCACAGGAGGCTTGGACATCTCAATGCTCGGAGCCTGGACATCCTTCGGAAGGACACGGGTACCGGGGTGGACTATCGCGACAGTCTCTCCCCTTGCGGGGTCTGCCAGATCACGAAACACAAGCAGTCCCCCCACCCGAAGCAATCGACTCGCGAACTATCACGGCCTGGACAGCTTGTGGTCATCGACAACATGGGGCCTGTTAATCCACCTGCGAAATATAAAGGAGGCTCCTTCCCGTACGCGTGCAAGATCACCGACGACTACACGAAGATGAAAGAAGTGTACCTGCTTCGCAAGAAATCTGACACGACCGAGGCGGTGCACACGTACAACATGTGCGTCGCAGCGGCAGGAGGCTACCGGATCGAGACCATCCGCTGCGACAAGGGAGGCGAGAACACCGGATCCGAATTTCGGGACTACTGCAAGAATTCAGCTATCAAGCTCGAATACGCCGCCACCAACACCCCTCAACAAATTGGTGTATCGGAACGGGACGGACAAACCCTGGCCGGAGTCACCCGGTGTCTTCTGAAGGATGGAGATTTTCCGCCGTCCATGTGGGGGGAGTTAATGCTGACTGCAGCATACCTGTTGAACAGGTCCCCACACTCAGCACTGGGAGGAGCTACGCCATACTCGAAGTTGCACAATAAGTCACCTGATCTCTCGGGACTTCGGGTCATTGGAGCGCGCGCCTTCGTACACCACGAGAGATACCGAAAGAAGCTGGACGACAGAGCTTTCGAAGGCAAGCTATGTGGTTTCGGCCTCGACAGCCAGACCTACCGGGTATTGAATCCATCCAACGGGGCCGTGGTCGAGAGCCGGAATGTGACTTTCATCGAATCTCCACCCCGCTCAGTGCCCTTCCAGTATTCCACTGAAGCAAACGGGTACGAGAGCGACGTGCTGAGCTTCACCTCCCTGCTGGACAGCCCCCACTCGACGAGCGACCTGGACTTCACGGCGCAGAACGAACTCCTTCGGCAAGAAGTCCGGAAGATGCAGCAAGACAATCTCGCTCGGGAGAAGCTTCGCCTAGAACTGGACGGGCACGAGGACGAACATGGAAACGGGCAAGATCTCGGCGACGGGGACGCTCCATCACCACATCTCCCATCGACGCCAGCTGGATCGTCATCCGAGACCCACGCATCTAGCCCCAGTCCATCATCGTCGAACCCGACTGAACCGGACACTTCTGCATCAACTGGATCCTCCGGCATGCGGCGCCTGCAAGTCACCAGAGCCAGCACGCGCGGGAAGCCCACCAGCGACGATCATATCGACGTCAACTTGGTTCCTGCCAATCTGGAAGTCACCATGAACGACCGCGGTCGAGCCCATGCTACAACGGGCCGCGTGGAGCCATCCGGTCTTTCCTTCACTCAGCTGGCTGAGATAGCCGATCAAGCCCAGCTCCCATGCCCTGGCGATACTGAGGATTTCGCCCACGTTGCGGAAGACCCCTTCACGGTGCCGCGTGCTCACGCCTACGTCACGACCACTCACGAACACCACGGGATCTTGGAGGAGACGAATCAAGCGATCAAATCCCCAACACCTACGACGAAGTCATGAGCTCTCCCCAGCCATTCAGGAGCGTGCAGCAAGGAAATGGACAATCTGCGGAAACACAACGTCTACAATCTGGTGCCCCTCAGCAGTGTTCCCAAGGGAGAGAAGATCCTCGGAACGAAATTCGTCTTCAAGAAAAAGCTGGACGGACGCTTCAAAGCTCGCCTGGTAGTCGGAGGACATCGTCAAGAGCCAGGACAGGACTACGGACGCAGCTACGCACCAGTATGCCGTATCGGGAGCATTCGCATGACGTGCGCCATTGGCTGCCACAACAACTGGCCCATCTACCAACTGGACGTTGTCGGTGCCTTCCTGAACGCCCTCTGCGACAGATATGTGTACGTCAGACCCGCCCCCGGTACATCCGCCAAGAACTCAGCGACGGGAGAACCCATGGTGTACAAACTAGAACGGAGCCTCTACGGCCTATCGCAGTCGCCTGCGCTCTGGAACGACACCCTGGACGAATCCCTCACGGTGTTCGGATGGAAAAGGACTCAATCCGACCCCTGCGTGTACGTGTATACCAGCGGCAACATCATCGTGATTCTCACGGTCTACGTAGACGACATTCTTATCACAGGAGGAGACCAGCAGCTCGTGGACCAGAAGAAGAAGGAGCTCACGGATCGATTCGAGATGACCGACATGGGAGAGGTAAAGCGGATCCTCGGGATCGACGTGCAGCGGGACTACGAGCAAGGAACCCTGGCCATTTCACAGGAGCACTACGTGAACACACGTCTGGAGCGGTTCGGAATGCAAGAGGCCAACCCAGTGAGCACTCTTGGATACGGAGCGGAAATCTCCACGAATCAACCTCAGGACCAAATCCTAGGACCCACGGACAAGAAAATCTACCAGTCGATGACAGGAAGCATCCTCTACCTGGCCCAGTGCACTCAATTCGACCTCTCCTACGCTGCCCTACAACTTTCCAAGGCCTGCAGCAACCCAGCGCAGGTGAACATGACAGCAGCCAAGCACGTTCTGCGATACCTTCGGGGTAATCCAGTTCTTCCTATCGTCTACAAGAGAGGACAGTTTCGGCTAGCGGCGTTTACGGATTCATCCTTCGGAGCAAACCCCGACAACGGAAGATCTACCACGGGATATCTCTTCTTTCTGGCTGGAGGACTCATCAGCTACGGTGCGAAGACTCAAACTCTAACCGCGCAAAGCACGGTCGAAGCCGAGATTCAAGCACTTAGCTACTCAGCCAGAGAGGCGGTCTACATCTCAAATTTTATGACGGAACTCAACTTCAAGACCTTCGGATCGGTTCCCATCAACAGCGACAGCACCGGAGCGCTGACAGTGGCCGGGAATGCCATGCACTCTCAACGCACGAAGCACGTGGCCCTGAGGTACTTTTTCATCCGGGAGCTAGTACTACGGGGACAAATCACTCTTCACCACCGGCCCAGCGAGCACCAGTTGGCTGATATCGCGACCAAGTACCTCCCAAAGCACCGATTCGCCTCCATCATTCAGCAGATTAAGGACTTCTCGTGTTGATCGAAGATCTGTGAAGCTCCCTTCCATACCAGAAGGAATTTATTTTCGATACGGTGCCAACGGAGGGGTCGAGGTAGACAAGGATATGGTGATGCCGTCGACCATTGTGAATTAGTTGCTTGATCGAGGGGTCGTGTCAGGAAAATCGTGCGTCGAGACCACCAGTAGTCGGACACGGTTTGACCTTTGAATACGATTGCAGCAACTAGTCTGCGTAGCAGTAGAAAAGTATCCATCTCTCCTTGGCATGTATTCTCTTGTTCTAGAAATATTCCGGAAGCATGCTAGGTCAAGGTTGACCGGGACATCTATGTAGAACGTGTGTAGCTTCTGGAAGCCTTCTGGAAACTTCTGGTTCCTCCTGTAGCCTCTGGAAGTCTTTCTGGAAACTTCTGGTTCCTTCTGTAAGCTTCTGGAAGCGTTCTAGATCTAGGTTGCAGTTGATACTCTTCTAGAACGTAGGAGGGCTTCCAGAAATCATTCTGGAAGCATTCTGGATCTTTCGTGTGATTGGCTTATTTGTCCGGTATTCGAGAAGAGTGGTGCAGCCCTAAGCTCGCCCACTCCTCTCACTCCTCTTCAGTACCAGCAACATCTGACTCGGGAGTCAGCAACTAATAAAAGCATCTTCATATTTCCATTCCAAGTCTCTCGCGGTTGGAGACGCACAGAGTGTGAACCTCTGAGGTAGGCTACACAGCCTCCTGGCATCTGCAGCATCGTACTGCTGTTAGTGCACAGCGAAATATCGCTGACACCCGTGAGGGGGCGGCATGGGCGAGATTATTCTCCGGATCAATGACAAAAACGGTAGCAACGGAAGAAAATTGCACGTCTCCGAAGGCTGCTACTGAACTCGTGTGTGTGTGTGTGTGTTTTGTGTTTTGTTAGCATCGACCGCGCTAACCAATGAAAATACGGCAGTCTCGGTGCGGTTCAAACATTATTGGGTTCTAGAGGTCATGATCTTTGTGTGGGTAAGATGTGCGTGTGTGTGTTGTTGCACGCTTATTTTTGTCCTGTTGTTCGAGTGTCCTCCGGGATACAGGTGCAGGTCGTCTGCGTTACCTTTACCTTGTGCGGACTTTGTTGTTGTTGTTATGTTTTGGCGTGGTGACGGCTCAAGGACCCCCCCCCCCCCCCCCCCCCNCCCCTCCCCTCTCAGGTGACTCAACGCGGGGCCCCCGGTTGCTGTTTGGACACGTTGCCCAAAGAGGGCGGAGAAGAAAGAGGAGGGCGGGGGCTTTGTTTCCAGTATGAACAGTTCCGCTTCCTTGATCCCAAGAGGCCGGACAGGACGTCGGTGGATGCCTACTACTTCTGCAGCGGTCTTAACCTGCTGCACATGTGCCCCCGCTGGCCGGAGATGAATCCGATGGAACCTCTAAGAATACAATCGTGAGACGTTCGGGTTGGGGTTAGGGTTAGGGACAGACCCTTGTTTCGGATAGATGGGGAGGAGCTTGAGTTGCACGTGTCCGAGGGGGGGGGTACTCATAGTTGTGCATGCCGTAGTCGTTAGTTTGCTGACCTCGCATCCCTTCAAAGCCGGGACGGAGCACGCCGGGAGGGGGATGATACCGTTCTGAGTCGGGTTATAACAGCCGGCGGGAGAGGACAGGAGAGGAGAGAAAGCCGTTTTTCTTGGTCTTGACGAGCCTTGCTTGCCGGGAAAGGCTTCAGGGGTTGAAAGGGAGGGCACGGCAGGATGCCGCTTGGCTGTCTGCGACCGATCGACCGAGATACATGTAGAGCAGCGGCTACGGTTTGAGAAAAGGTTTGTATACAACAACCTCTCTTTCATCCGGGTTTCTCTTCAAGACGTGCTGCTTTGTAGATTTTTCTTTCTTTTGTGTTTCTCATGGTCGGGGCAAGCCGAAACCATGATCTTCAATCCGATTTCCTTCCTCTGAAGTATTCTCTGCTCAAGGGCAGCCGCTACTGTGTGTGTGATTTGGGGAAAGCGGGGGGTGGGACCATGACGCCGCCTGCGTGGAGAAACGGAACGGCAGACCGAGCGTTAAACTCGCGTGTTTCTTGCCTTCACAGCGCATACGGGGGGGGAGGTTTTCACTGTATCTACACCCTTCCGTACAATGCCTGGACGTGTCACTGCTGTGTTTACTTCTCTTACTGTTTTCTTTTTTTTCCTTTCTTTGTTGAATGTTTGACGTAGCCTTCGGGAAGGAACGTCGGCAGGCAGACAGGGGTACCCTCGCCACTTTTCGCTCTCCCGTCTGCGTATCCCCCCGTCCTCTTGGTAGACGAGCAGAAAAACAGCATCTCGGTGGTGCTTGAGGACAGGCAGGTCATCAATATTTGTGCCAAAGAAATGGACATTTTGACGGGCATGAAACCCTTCGTCTCAATAGTTTTCTCTGCCTGGCGTGCATGTCCGCTGACTCGTGTCCTTGTAGTAGGTGGTTGAATTCCGAGAGTCTTCTCGAGGGAGTCGTCGCGGGTGTTCGTGCGAAGAACGGACAGGATGTGAGGTGAGCATTCGATCCGAGATTCCTCGTCGGAGGTTGCTTTCATCCGCCCGGCTCAGAGCTAGCGCAAGGACTAGATTAGCGTTCGTCGAAAAAAATGGAATATCAACCCGATTGTTTTCGGCCTTGGCCAGATTCGCTTTCATGAAAAACCACGCCATCGCCGACGAAGTTTTTTTTTTGTTTGTTGAAAAATCTCTTTTCGGCCAGTAGCAGATTCGCTTCCATGGCAAACCACGCCATCGCCGACAGCTAGAATTTGTGTTTTTCCATGGCTTTTTACGGCCGTCACCAGAATAGCTATCATGACAAACCACGCCATCGCCGCCAACGCTACATTGCTTTGTTTTTTTTACATTTTTTTCGGCCATCACCAGAGTCGCTTGCATGACGAACCACGCCATCGCCGACGAGCTCTTTACTGGCGAGTACAAAGAGATTCGCGCCGCCTATCGGGAAGGAGAGGGGAACGCCACCATCCGGGCGGAGTGCCAAAGAGAGGTACACGACCGTGTGGAAGGTGGATCGTTTCTGCAGCTATAATACTTGGTCCAGTAAACATTCAACTGAGGACAGGCTGATATTTATAGTGCCAGCTACTACTTATCTTATTTTCTTATGCTGTGGTAAAAAAAACTTGCTAGTATATTATCGTTTTTGTGCTTGCGTAGAAAAATCGAAGTCACTTGTTGTCTCGCAAGCCCGCCGACTTGGCTTGACCGCGTCTCCCCTCTCTCCCGGATCGATGTCGGGTTGCTGGGGTTGATTGCCTCCGGAGATGCACCGCCAACCAAAACGATTTTAGGTATCGAGCCTGGTCCGATGAGAACCCGGCGTTCTCCGTCGCGGCTTTGTAGGGATGCGAGGTCAATGGTCTAACGACTACG